AAAAAAAAAAAAAAAACCTGAAAAGAAAAACACCAAATCATGTTTCCTGAACATAACCATAAAAATAGTATCTAACCTGCAATATTGTTTTTTGCTAAAAAACCTGTGTATTTGCTATGACCCCTGAAACTTTCTTGTGGCTTTAGAGGTCTGTGACCTCTAGTTTGGTAACCCCCAACTCAGACAAACCATAATATCCATTTACCAAACTATTATTATTTTACTTCAATAAGTTTTAATAATATTTATTTGTCTGATACAAGAAAGCAGGATCACAATTTCATCGACATAAACATAAAACAAATTTTCTCCTGAAGTGTACGACAGTTCACAAGTTGTATTTTATTTCATGCCATAATTAGCTTCACGGTTAAAAATGTAATTATCTGTTAAGAAGTCTTATAGTATCACTGGTATTCACCATTTTAATTTAGCTCCCATTCATTATATCTCCCACAGCCCGAAAATAGAGAACATACCTTTTTACTACTATCAAGTTACTCTAGATTTGGAAGTTCATAAACCCTTATGGACAGCTGATGTTTAGCTACAAATGGTAAAAAAAAAATCTTAATTGCTAATCATGAAAAAGTTGGAGTAACTCAAATCATTGACTGACCTTACCAGAAAGCAAAGTTGGTTGGGTTACACAAAAATTCGAGAACCACATAGCTTCTGGCACACTTTTAAGTATCTCATTCATGGAAGAAGATACTTACATATAAAACATGCAAGACATTTAGCAAAATGCAATTGGTTCCTAATTTGTCAGTGGAAAGTTCTGAAACTTAGACTGATCAACGTTTCAGCCTCCCTAAAGGCTAAGAATATAACAGCAGAATAAATTAACTATTGTAACTTTGGATCTCACAGATATAGCTGTAATCAACACTCCCGTACAAATATACAAAGGAACGTGTCCCAGGATATAACCTGTGTTTTAACATGTACAAAGAATTATTACATTTGTTTAGGGCTAACTCTTACAGTTACAGCCAGTGCAGAGCCCAGTATAACATTTAGTAAATGATTTACACTATACAGTACGACTGCAACTCACAAGTTACAACTTCAACTAATCAGATGACAGTAGATTGTTAATCCAACTTTTGTCGCGTAAATAACCCCTTACCACGTGGAATAATTAGCCTTAATGGAGTAAGGATATTAATTTATTGTCTTTAGTCCATTGACTTCAACAATTCCACAAAAGTCTTAACTGTCTTTTTTTACTTCAAAGTACAATCTGTATCGGTGTATGTGTTCGGTAGATTTTGTATAAAGTATTTCCGATTTAGTTACAACCGTTGCAATTAATGCCAAAATAATAGAATGTACTATGTAGTACTAGTAATCAATCAGAAGTTTATACTAATAAAATCCTTAAAGTTAAAGCAGAAAAGTACAAACTGTTTAGTCGCTGTGAAGAAAGTTCGCCAACCGTAACAGGCTAGGTGCCTTATTTGTTTCTCCTTCTTGCTTACTTTACAACCCTAAAACCTCATTTGTATAACTTTATAGCTTCTTCGAGTAAAACTGTCATAACGATTTCAAAGTCATTATGTTTTTGATCTACTACCGTGACATCACGAGTTCAAAGAGCAGGATGGAAATGTAACTTACTGTCTGATTTGTTACTACGATTTCGCAATATAAACAATGCATTAGGCTTCACATCAAAGATTCTCTTTTCAATTTCACCTCTAGTGAAAAAAAAAAAATTTAACATATATACGATTTCTCAATAGAATAAAAATTATTTTATGTAGTGAATGTAGTTAAATGTTGTAGTTCTTTAAATAGAATAATTTTCATTAATCGTTGTTTGTTAATTTGCTATTTTATAAACATAACGGTCGTTTACGGTCATATAAACATGACATAACCTTAATTCAGTCACTTGTTAGGCTTTGCTTAGTTGAATAATTAATATTTAATTGGCCGTGCATATGTTTACCTTATCAACATCATAGTTTCACTTTTATATGTTAATATTAGAGAGAGACAGCTATTTTATTGATTGTATTTTACGCATTTCTTTAGCATAAAAATAAAATATTTATTAACAGACTATTTTATCTTTGCA